GTTCAGTACCCCTTATGATCCTTTTAATAATATTTAGCATTTGGTTGATCAAAAAAATAATCATGTGAATAGGGAAATCCAAATGTGAACTGAGATGCTACAAGCAGAATAACTGATTGTGAAATTTCTAAATTCTAATTTGCAGTTAATACATGTGAATCACTATTGAGTTTGACAAAAATGTACAGCAAATATCACAGACTAAAAAAAAAGAAGCAAAAGTACTGATGTTGATAAAACAAGAAACAAATGAAAAAGTTCTTCAATAAAAAGGGTAACATTATTGTCTAACTGAAAGTAAAAAATGGGAGAAAGAAAGTTGAAATTGATCTTGGCAATAGTTGCTCCCATCTATTTATTTTGCCTTATGTTCACTAATGGAGATAAAAATCTTCCTCAGATGGATTTAGAAGAACAGCCAATCATATGCTTCTCTAATAAAGTGCCAAAACCAACCATTTTGAGATGATATCTGAATGCCCCAAGCTAAACTTCAGGACGATATACCTGCTGGTATATATTACAGTGAAATTTTTATGCATGAACAGCAAGTGGGGCATGGCCCATGGTGTTTGTAGCAGTGTACTAATGTTAAAAAATACATACAGAAATTGGTTGGAAAGGAGACAAGGGTAGAAAACACAATACTTTACCTTGCATATTGTGATCAAATCATCCAGAGAATCATTGATCAATTTGAGGGCTTTTGTGACCTTTCTTTGCCGTGGTGAAATGTCTTTCCAAATAGGGATTTCCCAGAATGGAATTGGGGCAATACTTCGATCTTCAGCTTCTCTCAAAACAGTATAAACAGCCTGTCCTAGCCAAAATACAACAGAAATCAGAAATTTATCATATGGTGATGAATTTATGTCAATATTCTATAGAAATGATAATCCCATGCTGACATAATATAGACAAAGGAAAAAAAATAGATAAAAAAGCACCTCAACTATCCCGGTATCATTTGTTAATGAATCAAAGTCATAATTAAATACTGCCTTGCCAATAATATCCAATGTCAAACGGGAGAAAAGTGATTCCATCTCAACATCTTCACCATCAGTTGCAGCAGCATCCAGCTTCTGGCAGAGCCTATCTGTAGCTTGACCAAATAGACCGATCATAGCAGCTACGTACTAAAGATGAACAGAAAAATAGAGAAAAAGGGAAATGAATCAACAGAAAAAGCAGAAAACATTTGAAAAGTTTTTAAAATATTCCCAAGGACATAAAGGGTCAACTCATATTGAAGTAGCACCACAGCATGACTGAAGGCTTCTATCTAACAAGGGAATCTCAACCTTATAGAACCTCATCTTTTCTTTTCTTCTGTTTTTATAATTCCTCATCTTTTTTAAGCCATTTCACGATTCACTGATGAACACGTTTCTTTTAATTTTAGTGAGAAACAGTGATTCACTTTGTAATCATAGTGATTCACTGATGAACACTTTTCTTTTAATTTTAGTGAGAAACAGTGATTCACTTCCTAATCATAATTGATAGCATTTCAAACATAAGCATGTAATGAAATTCAGGTGCGAAATGCTAGCAACACTCTCTCTACTGTCCTTCAAACACTACCCATGATTGAGCAACAGAGCGCATAGCTTCCCTACAATTGTTGATAACTTTAAATTTTAAATATATTTACCAAAAATTCCACCTACAGGGGTGGAAATTTCCCCAATCCCCTTGGGCCCGTGGGCTCCTTGCCATGAGGCAAGGTGGGGAGGAATATTCCTCCTTGCAGGGCGGGAACAAGGGACAATTTCTCCCTGTGAAATTTTGTGGGCCTACCCTGCAGGTCCCCACAAGGATCCTGTTTCCGGTGAAATATTAAAAAACTAAAAAAAATTATTGAATCCCACCCAGTTTAAGTAGTCATAGGCCATACCCATTACTCATTTTTAATTTTAACTCAATACTAAAGTCCAATTACTTTAAACCAAACTCAACCCAACACTTTTTTTACCTTAACCCAACTCTTTAAAACATTTGTTTTAAAATAATAAAATAAAAATGATAAACTAATTTTATAATATAGATTGGCAATGGCAGGGAATCCTCACAGGATCCATTCCCTGCAGGCAACGGGGATGGGGCCAAATTCTACCCCATCAAAAAAACCAGGGGATCCCCATCCCCACAAATGGAGAGGCAGTCACCTGCCCTGCAGGCCTTGTTGCCATCCCTATCCACCTATCACCAATCAAAGAGAATCCATATCCCACATGGCCCAATTCATAAGGCCTAGCATTCCTCATTTTAGGAGTACATCAGTTTCCATTCTGAAAGAAAAAGCATGGCTAGGAATAGGAAACCAAGTCTTTCTGTTAATTGTGTTCGGGTTTTCACATGTATTCTCTATAATTTAAGCTCCTTCATTTTCTATCAGCCTCGTAGATTTTTATAAGCATAGTTAACAGTACATAATACCAAATATAGTAACAGCTTGCTTGCTTTGTAGCAGAGAAATCTAAAGAATTTCAACATTTGTGGATCAAATAAAGAATAGCATGAGTCACAATGACAGTGTAAGATGAAATGAGCATTGAGCATTTACATTAAACACAATACCTTTTGATGCAGTGCTGGAACTATAGCACGTCGTCTAACACGCCATATCTCACCATCAGCTGGAATAAGTCCCTTTCCCATGACAAATTCCAAGATTTCTGCTAATATGCCCTTCAAATCAAGGAATTTGAACAATGAAACTGGAAGAAAGCAATATTAAATCTAACACCCATAAAAGGAGGTAAAAATTACACGAGTATACCTTTGAATAAGCCCTTGAATTGTCACGTAATATATGCTTAGCAATGGAAGGATCAGAAACAATCAAAACTGACTGCAGAAATAAAAGTCATTCCTTCTTAGTGGTAGAAAAGAAAATTTAATTACTCTGAAACAAAATTATAAAGTGATTTCAAGGAGAGTATAGGGAGATGGAACAAGAAGAACCTTGGGCCCAAAAGACAACCGGAAAATTCCACCATATCTGAGGTAAAGCTCATACAAGGGAATGAAGAAGGCCTCACTTTGGATGGCACTAGCTGAACCTTTTGCTTCTGGAATTTTTGGATAGTCTTCACCATCACCAATCCACTTGAATAAGAATTGAAGAATTTCACTGGGAACACCCATATTTGACAAGCCATTCCTCAAACGAGATGGAAAACTTTGTTCCAGATGCCACAAGTTAGACAAATCTTTATAGTTAAAAAAAAACGCACACAACAATTGAAGCAAAACACATTTCTCCCAAAGTTCTTTTTATTTTCTTATGCATGTGTAAAGAAATACAAACACGGTAAGCAGTATCCAAAAGATGTCTCACCAAGATTGAACAATAAAATTTCATTAGCCTACCTCTTAGTGGACATTAAGCATATCAAAATAGTTTCTGGGATGAAAATTTAAGGTACAGAATTGGCATCACTTCCAAAATTTTAAAAACTTACAAACCACAAAGCAAATTTGAAAATTAGATTATTTTAGTTTTCAAAAAGTTGAAAAAAAAAAAAAAACTATTGAAAGAATTCACTTTTGCAAAAACCAAGAATCTTAACCAAAAAAACTTTTTTCCATTGGTTTCCATTTTTCTGAAAACCAAAACAAAAGTCAGGAATAGGATGTGATACCAAAAAGCATCTAAATAATTAAGCAAGCATAGATTATTACACTCCAGCAAGGTTCAATCAGCTTCTTTGAGCAAATTATATGCATTTTCTCATGATTGTAGAAAATAGATAACTAAAAAAAAAATAATTAAAATTGACAGTTAGAAGGAAGCAAATCATACTTAGATTGCTGTACTGTGAATTCTCCAGAAGCAATACGATCATACAAATCCGCACGGCGTTTGTCTTCCACTTGCTGTTCCGAGCTCTTGACCCCATTGTCATCTAAGTCGGTGTCTCTCCCGTTCGAAGAGGCGCACTTAATTGTACCAAATGAAGAAGAACCTAAAATGTACATAGCATAATTAGAGCCATAAAGGGACAATTCCAGGAAGAAGGAGGAAATGTGGAGACATACCAGTCAGTCTGGATGATTTGAGAAGGGAATTTCTGCGGAAAGATTGGGTTCCCAGAGATAATGGAATATGAACAATGGGGAGAGCAGGAGCAGCAGCCATGACTAGAACTTTACTCTTGCAGAAGTCTGCATGGATCGGGGGAGACCTTCTGCTGTATCCCAATAAAAATACACCATCTCAGCATTACTTTTTCACACTCCAATCATCTGACCAAAAGAGCAGAGATGGCATGCTTTTATTGGCGGATTGGGGATGGGTAATGATAATGGGAGGTGGTCTCCACTGAACCGCTAAAAAACAGCGGTCAGAAATTGAAATCTTTTGAGTCCTTCCGTACAGGGAAATGGTAGGCTCCATCTATTTTTATAGCTATCAAATTTATGGGTTAAATCCCCATTTTGGTCCCTGAACTATTGTATAGACCTCCGATTTGGTCCCACTGTTTATAATTTATCCTAAGTTGGTCTTTGAACTATTGTACGGACCCCTAATTTGGTCTTTACTGTTTATAATTTCACCCCAATTTGGTCCTTGAGCTATTATTTAACAGAAGGACCAAATTGGAGTTAAATTGATAAACAATAAGGACCAAATTGGGTATCTATACAATAGTTTAAGGACTAACTTGGGAGTCCATACAATAGTTTAGGGATCAATTAAGGGTCCGTACAATAGTTTAAGGACCAAATTAGAGATTTTTTTAGTTTAAAGACCAAATTGGGGTCCGTACAATAGTTCAGGGACCAAAATAGGGGTTTAACCAATTTTATATGAAGAGCAGTGCTAGGGGCACTCGCCTCCTCTTGCACTCTCCGGCCAACACTTCTCCTTTCAACGATTGGGTCACGTAACCTTGTTTCCGGCTTTATGGTGCAACCTCTTGCAAACCAGAATAACGTGGCTCAATAAAAATGAAAGTGTTGGCCGGGGAGTGCAGGAGGCGAGTGCCCCTAGCACTCCTCTTATAGGAAAAGATGTTTCTTAGTGGAACCTTTGATATTTAAAATTATTTTCTTTCAGAAAATTTCTATTCGAAAAGTACTAAATTCCCTTAAAAATTAAAATAATTTATTTTTAAAGTACTTAAATTTGAAACAAGATTGTTTTGACATTGATTATTGATTATGGGAGCGTTTATGATTATGGGTGTGTTTATGGGTGCATTTCAAATTATTGTAAAGTGTTATAATTGTAATTATGGTGGTGTTTAAGTGTGATTGTATTGTAACTATAACTGAAAGTTATTTTGGTGTTTAGTTATTTATTTTTTAAAAATATTATAGATGAAATATAATAGATTTTATTAATTATTAATTAAAATTTTAAAAATATTATAAGATATATAATTATTAAAATATATAATAATTATTATTTTTTAATAATTTATGTTTTTAAAAAAATTTAATTATAAAGTATTATAAATTATGATGTAATTCAATTATATGAAATTGAGTTTTAATAAGTAATTTTACAATTATATTAAATATTAAGTGTCTTCCGTAAAATTCATAGTTAAAAAGTTTCGAAATGAGGCTTTTAACTTTATACATAAAATTATTATAGATCTGCTGTGACCTTTTATAGTTTTTAGAAAAACAGTTTGAAAAAAAATATTATCAAACACACATATATCTAAAAATATTATGTGACTACATAAAAAAACTCTCAACCACACTCTCAAAGCATCTTTTATTGCCTTTTTCTTTTAGCTATTTATAAATCAAATTTATTATAAATATTTAATTTCTTACTCTTAAATTTTAATACACTTATAATTAATTAAACAAAAGGTGATTATTCTCACATTTTTCAAATCTTTTTCATTAGACTCAAGGTTTAACTTAATATTTTTAAATTAAAATTTCAAGTTCTTAATTAATTGAAATATCTATTAACACACTCTATTAAGGCACTTTTTGATCCCAATTTTTCTAACACATTACATGCTTATTAATACCCCACTTTCTTATGCAATTACAATGATAGTTATGTCTTACCATATAACACCGTAACTTTGTTGGTGATTATTCCTTATAGACCCTTAAGTAGTCTGTGTTCAATTTTTATAACTCTTACCAACCATTTAACCTATATACAAGACTTCTGTTTTTGCAAATGGAGTGAAGAAAATAATAAAAATATTACATTTATTTTCATTACCTGTCAATGTCTCTTTAATTCTTTCTTTTTTTTACTTGTTTCTTTAATTATTTTATAACACATTATTAAGGAGAATTGTTTCTATATTAATTATCTCATCATAAATCCCATTTGAGGTAATAGGCCAATTAAGATCAAGATCCAATTAGGGGTAAGTCTTAAAGTAAGATTTTGTGGATATAATATATATATATTTTTTGAATTAGGAGGAAATTTGGGGGAAATGAGGAATAAGGAGCTACTATTGCAATTTGAATTTTGATTTAGACCAAGAGTTAGACGCACCTGAATCAAGGCAGCTGAAGTTGTAAGTGCTTGTGAATTAATATTTAAATGGATAATAATTCTAATGTTGATGAAAATGTATATGTTTTTTTTTTTTTTTTTTTTTTGTACATAGGAAATTTTTTGATATAACTTGGAATAAACTTACACTATTGAAAGTTGTCCAACGATTATGTCAAAGATGCTACCACTGGTGGGGAAGTGACTACTCTTTATCAATTCAAATCAGGATCAATTCATGTAACATGCAAAGTTTCGGCCAGTAAAAAGGGGAAAGCAAGCTTGGATACTCAGTCAAGTTGACTCTGGTGCAACAAAATAGTTTTTCTTTTGAATCACCTGTTTGTGAGGTGTGTAGGTTGTGATGATTTTTTTTTTTTCAGGCACATTTTTGAGGTTTTTTTTTTCCCCTTTTTTTTTCCTTTGTCTCAGTGGGTTGTGTATGGACTTATAATCATTTAATAAACTAATATTAAACTAATAATAAGAAGAATGAAATCAATTAATCCTTTTTAGTTCTTTTTTCTCTCTACTCTTATTGTCTTTTTTTTTTTCTCACTTAAAAAAAAATAGTCTCTTTGACTCTCTACCTTACTATCATTTTTTTTCTTTTTTTTTTACTTAAATATATTATTTTATTTTCTTCTTTTATCCTTAAAAAGAATGTAAAAGTGACTCTAATAGTGGATTTGTAATTTTTTTATTGATTTTGAGACAATCTCAATCTTAATAATACTAAAAAATCTCATAAAATGATTTTTTTTTTTTTGTGAAAAAGTTGTAATTTTTTTTTTATCTTGGTTGTATAATGAGAGGCAATCATCTTTCATGTTTTATTTCACCCTATCCGTATGCCATGCGACTCGAATTTAGAATCTCTTACTTCTATCAAAAAGAGATGACCACTAAGCTATTAAGATCGTTGGCAAAAAAATTATAATTCATTTTTGGTTTACAGACCATTTTGATTAGCATGCCTTTGTGAGAAAATTGTATTTTATCTTTTAAAGTTTGGAGAGCATATTGGTTGATAGATTTAAGTTCCATTTAGTATGATTATAATTGTGGTTTAGGCTGTAGTTTTCAACATTCAAATAATTAAAATTAATAATTAAAAAATTAAAATTAAAATTAAAATTGACAACTTATTAGATATAAAAATTTAAAATTAATATCTAAAACTTTAAAGTTAATTATCATATAGAATTTTCTAATTTTATTATGGAATTTCTAAATTTTTAAAAGTCAAAGTAACAAATGAAGTGTTAGTAATTATAGTTATTTTTTATATAAGGGTAAAATTGTCAAAACAACCTCCCTTTCTTTCATGAATCTCCTTTCCTTTATCGTAGCAGCTTATCTTTTGAATGGCTTGTAAGTTGTAACACATCTCCTTTAGATAACCTCTATTTTGCGAGAGTCCTCAAATATTAATTTTAGAAAAATAGTACAATAAAAGTAAAATAGTTTTAAAGTATAAAATATTTCATTGAAAAAAAATCTACTTTTATATTATTTTAAAACTATATAGAAAAAAAATCAACAACTTACTAATGAAAACTAATATAACAAAAAGTATTTCAAAAAAATTATTTCAAAAAAATTATTAATGTGTTCAAAGTTGTGAAATAATCTAAACTGAGCCTATTTTCATTAATATATAGATAATATACACAAAAACAATTTATATAAAAATAGAGATGAGCAAATACTTTAAAAAATTTTTTCAAAATAATAAAAACAAGACCATTGTTTTGGTAATATATCAATTTACCTTCACATAAAATATTATGAGGTCTTAACTTTTATGTACGATGAGCATATGTAACATATACCAAAAACTTTGAAGCTTGGTGATTGTTACTCTAATCCATTGATTTGAAATGGGGGAAATAACATGAGCTAAAAATCTTGTAAATATTAAGTTAAAATTATAAATTTGAGTCCTAAGAATCTTAGACTTACATACTCAGAGAATATAATATATAATTAAGCAAAGTCATAGTTTTACAGGTTTTATTATTTAAATAATAAGTAGTATGTCACAAAATAATCTAAAAACAATCAAATATAACAAAGAAAAACTAATGACAATTAATTCAAATTCATATCATAAAACCAATAGCTTGTAGATAAAATGTCATAATCAAAATACGTATAATAAAAATCACATAATACTATGTGGTACATTGATGTGTGCTAACAGCACTTATACTAGAGCTAGTTACAGCACTTACATTACTACATAGAGGTCCATTAATTACCCTAAAAGATCCACTGAATATCCTAAACTTTAATTTTAGGTCCATTTATTCCATAACCACAAAAGCATACACATATCAAGTATATTCAAAAACATATCCAAAATAATATAGGAATATAATTTCATTTATTAATTCACTTAAATTCCACACAATTTGCATTACTTAACCTTATGTTTAAAACATACAAAATATAGCACTTAATCATCTACTTAAGCAACAATATTTTAAAGCAATTAACATTAATTTTCTAATGCTAATTCATAGGTTTCATTCACCAAATTTAGGAATAAATTTCTTATTTTAACAATGTAATTAATGCATGAACAATCAACAAAAACTCAAATGCTCAAGCCACGAACAGCACTCAAAATTCCAATTAAATATATATAGATTTTGTTTTATCATGCAAGTCCTCAAAAATCTTCACACAAAATGTGCAAGATAACACAAAACAACAATAATAAATTATTTAATAATAAAATTCAAGCATAGAAATAAAACACACTTTTATGTTTAAAACTTGTACATCTACCCAAAAATTAATATATTTTTAAGGTTAAATCTCTATTTTGATCCCTCTAGTTTGGTAAAAAATCCATTTTAGTTTTTCTATTTAAAAAAACTCATTTTTGGTCCCTAAAGTTTGAAATCTGGCCCATTTTTAGTTTCTCTGTTAAGTTTTACATATATACCATGTTAGATGATGAAAATTGCAAAATAGAAAGACCAAAAAGGGGTCAAAAGGGCTAAAAATAACCACAATTTCGTTCATTTATTTTGGAAAAAAGCTCCTTTTTGGCTCATTTATTTTAAAATTTCCGTCATCTAACATTAAAACTTAATGGATGAACTAAAAAAGGTCAGATTTCAAACTTTAAGAACCAAAAGGGCATTTTTAAGTAGAGGGATTAAAAAAGGCTTTTTTGCCAAAATAGATGGACCAACTTGGGGTTTAACCTATTTTTAACAAAATTTAAATGCCCAAAAATCTATTAAATTAAGGATTTAAGGTCAAATTTCATTAACCCAAACTAATTCTTGGTATGTTATAGCAAATTTATAATCAATGCAAAATTCTAACCCAAATCCATAACTAACTCATGCTTACCTATAAAAATTATAATACCAAATTAAAGCAAACGATAGAAATTGAAAGGAATTCTTACTAAAAAGTGCGTTCCCATGCAGCCCTAATACTCTCACTCGGCCCAAATAGAAAAAGTGAAGAGAAAGGGTATCCAGCAAAGTCAAGGTCTCCCAAAAGGCTTTTAAGTCAAAAGATGATTTTGTTTTTAAAATCTTACATGGGATGCCGTGGGTCTTCCGCAATTTCACAAGACAAAACACTTGATTAAGATCTGGCCACATCACCTAGTTTGATTAATATAATTGGATGGTTTCCAATTATTTCAAGATTCCATATAAAGTTCACATACTTTAAATCTAATTAATTTAGTCCCTAAAACTTTAAAATAAAACATTCTAATTTATGATCTATTCACTAAAGTATATGGGTGTTATATGGTCTACCTTTAACATGACCGATAATAAATTAATTTTAAAGTACACACAAACTAGTTCGAGAATATCTTGATCACTAAACAAAAAGAAAAAAAAAATTTCAACCTATCCTCTCTCCACCAATTCTCTCCTTCTACAAAACCTCCATTCACCTTCTTCGTTTCATCTCTGGCCATTAACTTCATTTTCAATGGCTCCTAAACACTCTTTTCATCACCAAGACTTCACCTTTTTTCCCTCTCTTCACCCGTTTTTCTTTATCTAGACTATTATTGAGTTTGCATCCTTCATGAAGTCACGAGGATACTTGGGCGTAGTCCGACAGCCAAATATATCCCAAATTTTTAGCTATATATTTTTCTTTTATAGTCAAAATACACTATAACAACCCACAAAGCGAGTAAAAAATGCTAGTGTATTATAATAAGTGAGTTTAAATATTCTTTGTATGCGTTTGATAAATTCTTATTATGTTGCTGATAAAAAAAAAAAACCCCAGTATGGAGTGGCATTTTCTATCAAATATTACCATTTAGTTTGTCTTGGAAGTTGTTGAGAAAATATGCAACTTGAAGAGATGTTAAAAATTACTTCATGGTTACTTTTATTATCAAGATGATTATTTAACATAATTTTTAATTTTATTTTTTTTATTTATGTGACCAACATGTAGCATCCAGAGCCATGTGTGGACAAGTAGGCAGCTGCCCCCTAGACTTTTGTAAAAAAAATGTTTTAGTCCCAAAATTTAAAATTTATAATTATTATATCTTTTTTTAACATTTATGATAATAAACACTATTAGCTCTTGTACTTTTAGTAATTAAATTCAAATTAAATGTGGAGATAATAATTAGTGAGTTCTTTAATAATAACTCCTTAAATATAAAAATAAGTCTAAATCTCTTAATTTAATGAAAACAAATTCTAAACTTTTGACATATTTCTTCTTTCCCACGTTTGTTTCCTAAAAAACCTCCAGATAGACATTAGACTATTTTCTGTGTTTCATAATTTGATAGTAATTTAATGTTCCAAATTTTGATCGATTATAAAATATTTTCTTCTTTCCCACGTTTCTCTTTTTTTTTTTCAATTTTTATTTTTTTGCCTCTTGTTAAATTTGTTTATAAAAGAAAATTCATTGTTACGGAAAATTCCAAAAAACATATATACAAGATATATCAAACTTCTTCATTTTGGCATGTGAGATTGATGATATCATAGATGATCATCCCTTTCTTTTTTTTTTTTTGTGTTATTGTGTTATTTATATGAATTTACATCTAAGCATCTTTTTTATTTTTATTACTAATAAAAGAAATATGAACATTTAAAATCACGTTTTCTTGTTGCCCCGTATTCTTTTATTGCCGTGGCCATTTGAAAGCATTTATCGAGTTTCCTTTTAATCACTATTTTTTTAAAAAAACTTTGCCCTCTGCCATCAAATCCTGGATCTGCTCTTGTGTAACACATTTTATTTTTCAATATAAAAATATTAGTATTTATTTACTAAAATAGTTAATTACTTAGTATGTTTTTATAAATATGAAGAATTTATTTATAATCATAAATGTTAAACAAAACTATAAAAAATGAAGACAGTGAATCTCTTTTATAAAAACACCTTTTTCATTTATTTCAGTGTTATATTAGATTAAAAGATACTATAAAAAATTTATTAAACAATTTTAAGGGATATTTGTGGTTAAAATTTATTGTTTATAATAAAAAATCAACTAATAACTATTAACATCTTTATTGATAATCTAAATAATTCAATAATTATATTTTTTTGTTAAAAGTAAAAGATCCTAAATTTAAGTCATATAGCATGCATACAGAATGAAATTAAAAATAAGAAATGATTACCTTTTATTATATAATTAAAATAAAAAAATAATTATTAACATCCTTAACAATTTAAAAAGTATCTGGTTTGGACTTTATAAATAACAATTAGTGATTCTAGTTAAATTGAATAAAATATTTTAAATTATAAATAATAAAATATTATTAATTATTAAATATTAACTAGAAATTATTAATTAGATCAAAATAACAAATCTAAATATCCCTTAAATTCTAAATATACTTACTGAATGCTTAAACTTTTTATGAAGAAAATTTCTACAACAAATTCTTTTAAACATGATTTTCATCAAAAAGCTCTAGACAGACGGACTCTTAACTGACAAACGGACTTTTAACTGACAAACTAATGAAAATATCAAAAAATTTTAAATTATAATTTAAAGATGAAAAAAATTTTAAAAATAGTTTAAACACTGAAGATATTCAAAATTAAAAACTACATTTAACCATTTTTTAATATATACACACGCATTTTCTCTCTCCTCCGCGTTAAACCCTCTCCCCTTTCAGATACTCTCTGCTTTTTTCTTTGTTAGGGTTTGGTCGTTACAGTTTGTAGCATCAGACCAGTTTGCTACTTTGCCTTTATCTCTTGGATTTGGATATGGCTGCCGAAAGACTGAGAGATTTGAGCCAGCCGATTGACGTCTCCTTGCTCGACGCTACCGTTGCAGCTTTCTATGGTACCGGATCTAAAGAAGAGGTGAGGGATAAGGTTCTTTCTCTGTTGTGTCTTTACTTTCTGTTTGTGAAGTGGGTGCGGGGTCGCTGAGCCTCTGCTTGTCTCGTTTGGTTGCCTTTCTCCTTGGCTTTGAGAGGAACTGTAGGGAAGTGTGCGGGAATTGTGAGTTTCTGGAATCCTGTGGGTTATTTTTGCGAGTGCATAGGAGTTTCTCGAGTACTAGGGTTTAATGTGTACATTCTTTTACTCAGGCTTTTTTCAAGTTGTAAAATCTACTTGATTCCCTAGACAGTATGAGGAAAATTGGATAGCGGCATTCAATTACTGGCTTTTGAAGGTTTAATGTGCCAAAACCCTTGCTTTGGGTAATTCTTTTTTTGTTTTTTGTTTTTTTTTTTTTTGGTTTTTTGCATCCTTTTTTTTTTCTTTCTTTCTTTTTGTGTGTGTGTAATGGCACGTGGAACTATTGGCCTTAATCTATTAGGGTTTATAAAACGTAATAATTTCAATTAGTAATGAAAAGCACACAAAAATTTTAAATCATCTTGGTTTTTCATGACCAATAAATATACAGTTTAGCCTCCATGATATTATATTGGAAAGTGAGGGAAATTTGTAGGTTTAAGATAAGTGGATGTCATGTTTGTTTGAAATGGGTTACTCTGGTATGTCTTCTAGATGCCTGCTGATTCTGGAAGGTCAAGAAAATTGGTGACCTGATTACAGGTAGGAGACTGAAGTCCCACTTCTTTTGCTCTTAATAATATTATGATGGTAAGTAGAAAGCTGCCAGAAACATGTTAATATGGGCCATTAAGAAATCTAATTTAAAACTGGGAGAGAAAGATAGCAGTTGCCACTAGTGTATTTCGGCATTTTATTAGTCTTTTAGTTTTTCATTGTTTTGATAAATTTTATAACAAAAATTGAAATTGAATTATGCAATTACTGTTATTTGTACTATGTGCATTGTGTCTTCTTTTCTCTTACATTAATTGTTTTCACTGTTTTCATTTGTTCCCCTCTTGTTGCTTTGCAGAGATCTCAAGCAGATCAGATCTTGAGAGATCTGCAAAATAATCCAGACATGTGGCTTCAAGTTGTGCACATCCTACAGCATACAAAGAGCCTGAATACTAAGTTCTTTGCCTTGCAGGTCAGTTGCAGTGGTTATCTGCTTCATAATTTGTAATTATCCGTCAATATGTCATTGTGTATTCTAAATGTACATACATCATTAACCTTCCTTACATATCATGACAATTCAAAATCAATTGCATCAACAGCTTGACATATTTGGTTACAGTTCGCTCAAGGGGATATCTATTAAAATTCAATTCTAACTCTTATAGGGTGCTATTCATCAAAAAAAAAAAAAAAAACTCTTATAGGGTGTTTTTGCTAATTTGCTGATACTGATTCTTGATGGGGAAGTTCCTGGGTTGTGCTTTTCTTCTTGGAAAGCTTTTGAGGTCTTTTGCATGATAATTGAAATCTAGCATTTAATGTCTGTTACTGTAGATTTAAAAGAGTTTTGTTGTTCAAAGAATTAGAAAATGATGGGGTGGCTGGGGCTTTGTTAAAAAGAGTACTAATTGGGCCTTGCAATTGATGATGATGGAGCAATGAAGTTACATAATAGGCCTTCTTAAATCTGTGGTCTCAGAATGTTGTTGAGAGTGTTTGTTTTACTGTATTATCAGCTTAATGCCAAAATCCTAAGCAGATCATAGCTCTACCTGCTCCACCATGTTACTTTTTATTTTTATTTTTATTTTTTTGTGTTTTTCTTTACATTGGGTGGCTGGTAATCTTTATCTTTCCCCTCAACTCTTTAATAGAGTTCTTTTTCCATGTTGTGACATGCATGTAACTGGGCAATTGATCCATTTTCTTTTGTTGTTGTTGTTGTTGTTGTTGTTTATAATAACCAATTGATCCATGTTTTGGAAGAACTTTTGATAGTCAAATTGCACAATTGGTATAAAGAACTTGCTTATGAACATTTGAAATCCTACTTCCATTTGGCTGATCTTAGATACCTCTTTTCCATCATGGGGGCAGGTTCTTGAAGGTGTTATCAAGTACAGGTGGAATGCTTTACCTGTTGAACAACGAGGTGGAATGAAAAATTACATTTCTGAAGTCATTGTACAGGTACAACAATACTGTTATCTTTTAAATTTAGGTAGTAGGGGAGAGTTCATGTGATGTCTTTATTTTACCTTATTTTTTAGAGTTTTTTGTTGTCTATTTTTCTTTTACTACTATTTTAATTTTAATGTGTACCTTGCAATAGTTATCAAGTAACGAGGCTTCTTTTCGATCAGAAAGACTCTATGTCAACAAGCTGAATATCATATTGGTTCAGGTATCAACTCACCTGCCAGAGTAAATAGTTTTTAGTATGAAAGGGATCTTTAAGGTGCTTTGTGCTTGGTAGAAGCTATGGTGTTTATTATATTTTGATTTTTACTTTCTTACTAGTTATATTTTTTAACAGAAAGTCCAATGAACATATTTTATGAAAGAAAGGGCTCTTTCAATGTTAGTTTATGCTGTTATGTCTGAATGATCATGTATGATATATCTTCTGAATATACAGATTTTAAAGCATGATTGGCCATCTAGATGGCAGAGCTTTATTCCTGATCTTGTTGCAGCAGCAAAAACAAGTGAAACAATTTGTGAGAATTGCATGGCAATATTGAAAGTAAGAATTTTTTTCATACTTATCACTTTCTAAAACTGGTTACAGGACATTAAAATGACAATCTGTTGCTTTGTCAGCTTCTGAGTGAAGAAACTTTTGATTTCTCAAGGGGAGAAATGACCCAACAGAAGATCAAAGAGCTTAAGCAATCACTTAACAGGTAAAGGTTGCAGATCACCCTGTCATCTTTAGCAAGCCTTTTCCTCTGTTACTTTCCCAGAGGAAAGCCCTTGCATGATAACTGTGCTGTCAGCTATGTGTATTTCTCACAGCTCCAAAATTTGTTTTTCCCTTCTGATGTGCTTTATTTGCTGAATGAACTGGTTGATTTAGAAACATAAGTTTGCTCTATAGTATTGAGAAATATAATATGTATGCACACACCCACACAACCACACAAGCAAAGAAAAAAACGCATACTTATTGAAGGGATTACAAGTGGTATTCCAATGCTTAAATCAGTTATTCCCAAACTAAACACTTACATGGCAGTGAGCTAATCATGTGTCCAATTATTAAACAACAAAACAGAACAAAATCAGCCTAACAAACTGCAACCCAAAAAATGCCCCAACCAAGCTCAAGCATTAATCAGCATCTTCTCAAACTAATCTCCTCTAGACACAGTTCAGGAAACAACTTCCAATTACAGAAAGAAAATGCAGCATCCTCCAATTTTCCTTTAATACAGACAACGTTCCTCATTTGAACTAAATTGAAAACTCTGTTTTCATCCCAATCCCACACCTCATTTGAAAAATCAATCTGTTTCTTGAATTCTAAATTGACCACAGCATGGTTTAGAACACAGCAGCACCAACTTCATGGCTTTTCCTTCCAAATATGCTGAACCAAAACACAAACTGCCTGTAAAAACCAAATAAAGAGTCTGTTCAAACAAAGTTGAATCCCCACCACCTACAGCATTTCATCCACAAAGTGAAGGACTTCACATTTTAAGGACAAATGACCTACATCCTCAACAGTACAACCTCACAAAACACTATTCTTCTACTTAAAAATGCAGTTACTTTTGATGGAATACAGGGGGCTCCAAATCATCATTCACAGGTCCCTGTCTAAGTAGCAATTGTGATCAGTCATCAGCACATATGCCTTTCTAGCTCTGTATCCAGCACTTCCATTGAACACCATAATATGCAATCCTCATTGCCAACTACCAATTGAGAAATTTTGTATACATGGTAAAACAACAGAATCATGAAAATGAATTGGAAGAAGATACTTAACCTTTAAGAAATGCAAAGGCATTGTATATAGCTATGTGAAAGAAAATTGTTAAGTTGATGTACATTTCTGCATTCTCAGGCTTTTACTTTTTGAGATTTTCCTATTGCCATGTAGAACTCTTGGGCATGTATAGAATTTGTATACTCTGCTATATTCTTGGTCCTTGACTTGTTGAGATTTGCTGTATAGGATAATTATGTCATTTTTGACATGTAGACAACCTTGTCAGTTTACATACGTGACCAGCATTTCTTTGTATGATGTAATGTTTGAGAAATCACTTTTTTTGGGCATTGAATAGCTACACTTTAATACCATGCTTTTGTGGGCTTGTCATTCTTTTTCCCTTTTGTTTCATTCTTTGGCTTACAGGCTTTTCAGATTTAACAATGAAAAGAGCTATAGAAATATTAAATTTTGCTCTATGGTATGTGGAAATGTTGTAACCTTTGTTGAAAAACAGAATCATGGAAAAGAATTGGAAAAGGGTGCTTGTCTGGTAAAACATGCAAAGTTACAGCTTTGTAAAAGAAAATTATTAAATTGATATGCATTTCTATATTGTCAGACCTTTACTTTTTGAGATTTGCCATGTAAGACACTTGACTTAGTTTATATAGAATTTATTTACTTTGCTATATTTTTTGGCCTCTACTTTTTCAGACTTGCCTTGTAATGATAATTATGGGCTTTTATTGACACATTGATGGCCATGTTTGTCTACATCATATATGACCAGCATCTATGTTCTTTGTTCAACATAACAATACTGTATTTTGGCTGTCAGAACAATGATACACTTTATTATGGTTATGTGACCTCTTAGGAATTTTTATCCTTTTGTTTCATTCTTCTCCTTATAGGAGCTTTGTGTTTGCTGCATAATTCTGACATCACTTAATTTTCTCTGGGATTTGACTTGTAGACATTTTTGAGAAGTGGATATTGTTGGCAGAAAGCAGATGTAACATTCTTAGTGGAATATACTAGTCCTCTGAAGTTGTTTAAAGTTGCCTAATCTGTGGATGCATTTGCTTTTGTCCAGATTTAATAAGAAACTATCATTTGCTGTCCTTTACCTTTGTTCAGGGGTCATTTGTGCTATTTAAGCAACTAATATAATCGTTACATTCTTCTGATGCTTTTTTTTTTTCTTTTAATGCTAAATGAATTTTTGTTCCAAGTAAGGTTTAACTGTCTGCAGTTCATTTTATTTTATTCATTTTTCAATTACTAAAGATTTCTTTTTGTGTTCTTTACAGTGAGTTTCAACTCATTCATGAGTTATGCATGTATGTATTATCAGCATCACAAAGACCTGAACTCATAAGAGCAACACTCTCCACATTGCATGCTTTTCTTTCTTGGATTCCCCTCGGTTTTATTTTTGAGTCCCCATTGGTATGGTCTTTCTTATGCGATAATTGTTGATCTTCCTGAATGATTACACTTCATAGTTTATTTGTACCTGTATTTGTTTTTAAGATATTTTTTTTCACATCCCCATGTCCAATAGCTGGAAACACTCCTCAAATTTTTTCCTGTGCCTTCATATCGGAATCTTACCATCCAATGTTTGACGGAGGTACTTTTCTTACACATTTTTTTTATAATTATCCTTGCTTTAAGACTTACTGACTTAGAAGATTAGTTCTTTAATTTCTTTAAATTTTTACAGGTTGCAGCCTTAAATTTTGGGGACTACTATGATGTTCAATATGTTAAGATGTACACAGTATTTATGGTCCAGTTGCAGGTATACTTGTCCGCTGTAAGAATTTTATATATTTTTTCTTCATATATATATATATATATTGTTTTCCTGGCTTACGTCTACGTGCTTTCTTTGTATGTTCTTAGGCTATTCTTCCTACAACTACAAACATCCCTGAAGCTTATGCTCATGGAAATAGTGAAGAACAGGTATTTTTTCTATTACAATCCTCCAGCCATGCATAAAGTACAATATACTCTATTCTCACCTGTTCTTATCTTTTTTATTTCTTAATTATTCAGGCATTTATTCAGAATTTGGCGCTGTTCTTCACTTCATTCTACAAGGCAAGTTCTCTCAAGTCTAATTATAATTTTTGCCCTAAAGATGGTTTTCTTAGTGAAATTTTTGGTCCAAACCCTTATATTCCTGTGTTTGGCTTTTTTGTTGATTGATACATGTTTTTCTTTTCATTTCTTGGTGGGTTAAGTCCAAACTTATGGTTTATTACAGTTGCGGTGTGGCTATTTGTTACGCTATTGCTACGGCCCCTGATGTATTGGGTGGAAAAAAAATCTAAACTCTGTTAAGTAAATCTAATGCCATTTTGTGCTCATAGTTGATTGTTTACCCTTGTATTAGGCATGCAGAAAATTTTTTCTCTGATATTTAGAATATTTAATGACTAGATTATTTAGTTGGTAGTTAATTATGTTGGCAAATTGCTGCCTCTATTTGGATAGGCTTTTTTGTGATTATTTTGCTTGAATTTTTCCCTTTTAATGCAGTTCCATATTCGGGTATTAGAAAATTCCCAGGAGAATATATCTGCACTGCTGATAGGTCTTGAATATCTCATTAACATCTCTTATGTGGATGATACAGAAGTCTTTAAGGTATCTTGGCTTTTCAATTGTATTTTTGTTAATAATTATTGTTAAAATTGTTTAAATTGATATGTTGCTGATCCTCTGATTGAATAGGTTTGCTTGGACTATTGGAATTCCATGGTTTTGGAACTGTTTGAAGCACATCATAATATGGATAATCCTGCTGTTAATGCAAGCTTATTGGGACTGCAGGTATCATGGAAATTTGACTGCTATCTGATAGTTTTATAATTCTTAGAATAGGGGTTTATGTTAAATGTCTACAAGATAGAATAGAATTCTTTGGGAGATGGATGCTTTCTCATATTTTGTTATCTGTGTTCTATGTGTCCGTTAACTCTTCTGGTGATGAGTTGGTGACTTGGTAAACTTTTCTGCATATTTTGGAAATAGATGTAAACAAGAAGTACAGTGTTGTTCTCCTGAAATCTAGCTATAATTAATGAGTGTGTACAGAATTTTAGTGTA